TGGTTTTCCTTTCGCAGTGACACCGTTCACTATGAGAAAACTCAGTGTTGTATTTATATGGAAGTGTAATGGTTAACAAGCTTGTCTCGTTTGATCAATTACAACTAAGTAGCGAGTTCGATCCTCACTCGTGGTTCCCTTCTTTCGGGCTTGTGCCACGTCGACGCTAAGCTTACTAAATTATTATAATAAATTCCATTATTAATTTTTTGGCTATTAATTCTTTCATATGGAAACAACTCTTACTCCTCTAGTTGTCTTTTGTTTCTTTTCTTCCCAATCATGGTAATTGTTCTGATGAACTCTACTCTATGGTACGTAGACTTTATGAATTTAAGCTCAGTACTAGACCGGGAGGTAAACTGAAACATGAGGAGTAATTGATAGCAGCCCGGATTGAGGAATCGTAGAGCCGAGTTCGAATTCCAGTCAAATCCATCACATGCACTTACGTGCTAATACCCTTGGGAAAGGTATGAATCCGCTTCTCCCTTCAGCTATGGTTAAATATCAGAACAGACTGTGTTCTCTAGCCTTGTTTAGCAACTGGTCTACCGCAGAAAGATATGGCAACCTACTGCGGGGAAAAAAATCTGCTTCATCAGTCAGCTTAGGTGATCGAAAGATACATGTATCGAAAGATACATGATTGCTAAGAGTGAACTGTATCGAAAGATACATGATCGCCGAAGAGTGTATCACGCATGGCACATAACTGACTTACAGTTGAGATGGCTAACAGCTTTTATCATCACACTCCTCACTTGTGGAACTTTCTTCTGGCTTCTTGCTTCCCAGTCAAATTAGATCTTCAAAAATTTAAATGCAATGTTAATCGTTACCTTCTGTCTTCTTAATTCTTATAATTTTGTTGTTCTCTTTTCCTTAATAGCAGTTTGTTTTCATATATTCTAACAATAAATAATTCCTGCAGTTTTGAAAAAAAAAACTTACCTCATGGACGTCCGTACGTAAAAAGAATCTCATGGGGAAGCCATATTGTTTTATCAAATTAACGCAAAATCACGACGACCACGAGATTTGAGAAAATAAAAATATGCAGTGTAGGAAAGACGGAGCGGGGAAGTTAGTGTACAAAAGACCAGACAATACGACAAATACAACATCTACAAAGTCTTAGTGGTTTTATTGCCTTGCTTGGGCTGAAATGATTAAAATAATTATAATTATTATTTTCTCTTCTGTTCAACATCATTCCTTTATCCAATAATTTCAATTCATTCTTCCGTCTTTAAAATCCATTTTTTCACTCGTGTCATTCATATCTCTTGCCAGCATTTATCGTACTTTTTTTTTTTTTTTTCATCCTATTCATATTTTCCGTTTAAATATTTGCGAATTTCCCCCCGGTCTCAATTTTGTCTTCTACGTCACCGCCCTCCTTCATTCCACTCCACCTTCACGCCTCCTTCCTTTCATTTATTTTTCTTTCCGTTTTTCATTTCTATTTTCCTTCGAGTTTCAAATTCTTCGTCTTATTTTGATATTGACACACTAAACAAGACTGAAAATGTCAAAACACCCATATAACAACAAGGCGCCTTTTAGTTATTAAACATACAATGGGAAGAGATAGTTATCGCTCAAATTTCCGTTTCCAAAGATCATTTAAAGGGATAGCAATCACGCGACAAAAATGTAACAATTAGTAAGAGAGCGGCAAATAGACAATGTTGCAAAAGCCGAACGAAAGGGAAACAAGTTATGACATTTCTACATGCAAACCTGTTAAACATAAAAGAAAAGGAGAAATGGGAAATTACTGACATTAAAAAAAAAGCGTTTTATTAATCAGCCAATCAAAGGTGGGGATTATTTTGAAGCTGATTAATATGGACCGCTGAATCTAAAATAAAGTGTTATTTCCTACAGATTTTAGTTTAAAAATTACTATCATCACTGAATATAGGTAGAAGCGTGTGCATGTATGTAGCTAGATATGAAAAGACTGAGATAGATAGATAGATAGATAGATAGATAGATAGATAGATAGATAGATAGATAGATAGATAGATTTGATCAGACTGGGATAGATAGATAGATAGATAGATAGATAGATAGATAGATAGATAGATAGATTTGAACAGAGTGGAAGAGATAGTCATATATATGAGCATGGATGAGATAGATAGATAGATAGATAGATAGATAGATAGATAGATAGATTTGATCAGACTGAGATAGATAGATAGATAGATAGATTTGATCAGACTGGGATAGATAGATAGATAGATAGATAGATTTGAATAGGCTATGTTGCATAGGTAGACAGATATTTAAATAATCTGTCTTACATATATATGTATATAGTTATGTATACATTTATGTATGTATGTAGATAGGTATATTTAAATAAGAATTGTGAAATAAATATGTACATATTTATGTGTAAATATGTCTATATATATTTAAGCGTATATCTATATAAATATGTTTCTAAGTATACATATACATATATATGTGTATACAAAGCGATAGATAAATAGATAAGTGTAGATAGGTAGATTTAAATATGATGTGTGACATAGATTTAAATAGGCTTTTGTTTATATATATATATATATATATATATATATATATATATATATATATATATATATATATATATATTAAAAAGAGCAGAAAACCTTTATGGGTCCATTGATTATGTTTTATTTCCCAGGAAAATATATTTTGCTGTTTCCTCAAATTACATTTTCAAGCATAAAACATCTTACATTGAGGTTACATTGAAAAACAATTTACATTGAGCTCTCTGGATTACATCCTTCTGGGGATTATCCATACGCATTACTAAGCATTTGATTAACTAACTAACTATATATATATATATATATATATATATATATATATATATATATATATATATATAACATATAGAGGCTCTGTTTTTAATTATTTATTAAACAGTATATTTCGAGAAATTTTAAAAAAAAATGTGCCGTCTACTCAAATATGAATATCGATTTAAAAATAACGTTTAAACTAATAATAAATTATATATATATATATATATATATATATATATATATATATATATATTAGGTTATGCAAAATAATGACGTAAGAATGTCGTTTTTGACGTAGAAAATACGTCAAAAAAACGACATTATTACGTCATTATTTTTGCACCAACCTAATATATATATATATATATATATATATATATATATATATATATAGAGAGAGAGAGAGAGAGAGAGATGAGAGAGATGGTTGTTAAAATGGATTAAGAAAAAAATTTGACAAGAACTGCGCCCCGCACGCGGCCACTTCACGATGCCGACGGCGGGCAATCAGTTGCTGTAGGTTGTAGAATGAATAGCCTATATTCCATCAGGCGTGTTCAATATCACGGGCAACCATCCCCACCCGGTTCGAGGGTAAACAATCCGGCCTAGATCAAAAAATAGCCAAAAGCTAAAAAATTATTATGTTCTACGCGAAAGGCTTCCTTGTATAGCAAAAAAAAAAGGATGCTCATTGACATGTGAAATAAGAAAAATAAGTCAAAATAGTGCCAGGGTAAAGGAGCTACATCTTCAAGTCAAAAGATGTGTTCTACTGAACTAAAGCTATACCATAGCATTTAGAATATTAGAAAAAAATGAGCAGCACTAAAAAGAATCTGTCCAAAATCTGCTTACTAGCAGAAAAGAAAATCAAATCAAAATCCTGGTAGGCAGTGATCGGCCACGTCTGCTAGTTTCATGCGTTTGCAAGTTTACCGGTGGCTGTATCTGTTGAATATTTTACCAGACGAGTTCAATATGACGGGAAAACCAAACCAGTAATCAGCTTTGGAACAAACTCTTTTTAGAGATACGCTTCCTAAACAAAAAAAAGAAAAAAAGTCAGCCTTAGCGTTGCAACTGCACGCTCCACAAGTTTGTATCTGTTATCAACAACACATTATAGAAAAAAAAAAAACATATTTCGATTTGCATTATATTTTTTCTTCTCGGATGCTACCTGAATTTTACCAAAAAGTAAAAAGTTTCCATGCCTGATGATGACCGGAGAACCCGTCGAAAGTACTTGCATATTTAAGGAAGATCTAATACAGTTTATAATTTTAAAATCGAGTTGTTAGTTGGTTAAGTCATCTTTAAAATTTAGTTAGCGAAGTGAATTCGCCATTTTATATCATTAATTACATGAACTTCGGATGATGGTTCTTTCCTATTTTTATATATATTTACACACACACACACACACACACACACACACAGACGCACACACAGACGCACGCGCACACACACACAGACGCACGCACACACAAACACACACACAGATAGATAGATAGATAGATAGATAGATAGATAGATAGATAGATAGAAATAGGCTGTAATAGATGTAAACGTGTTTACTGTTATCAAATGCATTTCAATGTGTCGAAGAAATAGACACGTATAAGTAAAATGTTTAGACACGATATGTAATGGATGAGGTGGGCGTGTTCGTGGTGTTGTGGGTGAGTTTAAACGCTACAATTTTAGGACTATGTTCTTTTCACTTGTTAAGTATGACAGTCTGACAAGATAACATTAAAATGCGTCATCACATTAAAAAGAGAGTTGAAAACTTACTCTGGCCTTCTGCTGAGGCAAACGAACAAGTGGTGTTACTTTCGGAGCGTCGCTCTTTTTGCATGAAGATGGAATTTCATAGTGTGTCTTATTTCTAAACTTTTTTTTTTTTTTAGCCGATCGTCGAAATTGAAACAGTGTGCCTCATTGCGGACGTTCCCATTCTAACGTTTATGCCATCAGTTGCTGCGATGAATAAGTCGAATGATTTCTTAAAAGCAAAGCCAGTTTTGAAAGGTGTAATAGCATTCCAAGGCGAGAGGTGGGGGAGTGTGGATGAAAGGAAACGTGAGACAAAAGCAGAGAAATGGTTCCGGCCATTGATGCCGGCATGTCATGGAGACTTTCGAAAGAGTCCAACCACTATTATTGAAGTCACGCACGAAATAAAATGAATAGGACAGGAAAGAGTGAGAAAACGCAAGACTGATTAGAAAGATAGAAAGAAAGAATGAAAGAAAGAAGTCCAAATATATATATATATATATATATATACATATATATATAGAAGGGAGATAGAGAGCGCTTGTGTGTGCGTCTGTGTATGTGTAGTAAAGAAAACGAGGAGATTATGAATAAAATTACGACGGGAAGACAGGGAAGACATTAGATTAAAAATGAACAAAAAAAAAACTTATCCCGGAAAGACGAAGAGAATAAGCGACAAAGTTGCCCTAAAAAGAGTAAAAATGGGGAAAATAATAGTGAAAGTGAAAATGAAAGTGAAACTAGGAAAACAAGAGAAAAATAAAAACTGAATATAGATTAAATAAAAGCCAAAGGGAAAGGAAAAAATGTTCGGAAACAGATGATTATAGAAGGGACATACATAGGAAAACGATGAAAAAGGTTGAAAAGATGTGGACAGTAGGAAATAAATATTTTTTGAAAAAAGAACCCGAGATTGAAAATGGGAAAAGAAACAGATAGATAGTAAGAGCGAAGAATCAATGAGGAAAATAGAAAGGCACAAAGAGGGAAAGAGATAGATAGAAAGAAAACATTAAAAATATAAAATAAGATGAAAACGAAAGTGAAAGTAAAAATATAAATAATGTCGAGAGTTGCTTTTTATATAAAAAGATGTTTAATGTTAAGAGAAAAGTAAATACAGAAGAACAAAACAGAAGGAGAACCACCACCACCACCACCACTAATACAAATAGACAAAATACAAAAGAAGAAGAAGAAAAAGAAGATAGAAAGAAAACATTAAAAAAACTAAGATAATATGAAAACGAAAGTGAAAAGAAAAAATGTAAGTTATATTGGGAGAATGATATTTGCTGTTTATAGAAAAAAGTTGTTTGATGTTAAGAGGAAAGTGAACACAGAAGGACAAAACAAAGAAGAAGAAGAAGAAAAACCACCACCAACACTACCACCACTAATACAGAAGACAAAATACTTAAGAAGAAGAAGAAGAAAAAGAAGAAGAAAAAAGGAGAAAAAGGAGAAGGAAAAGTCATCATAATCAATCTTAAAAAAGAGAAAAAGATAACGAAGTAGACGTTTTCGAAAAGAAATGTGATAGACAAGGAAACTGTGTTATAGAAAAAGGGAAGAGAAAGAAAAAGGGAAACACTGAAAAGATCAGAGTAAAAACACACACACACACACACACACACACACACACACACACACCTGAAGTGTAATTGAAGGTGGAGAGATAAAAGGAAGGAAGATGGAAGCAGAGTTAAAAATGGAAACGAAGAACAAAGTGTCAAAAAAGAAAAAAAAAAAACAAGAAGCGAAACGCAAACACCGGGGCGAGGAAGAAAAAGAGAGAGACAAAAAAAAAAAAAAAGAAATGTTGAAGATAGAAAAGAAGGATAAAGAGAAGAAACTGAAAGGTATGAATGGGAAAGAGCCAAGAAAAAGAATTCGTGAAAGAGATTATGGTCAAACGAATCTAGTAACGAGAATGGGTATTGGCCAATCATTACAGGCTTATATCGATTTCACTTCTGGCACGGAACCATATTAACGCCGCCTCAGGTCTTTTAGTGTCAGAAATTTGGTGCGTTTGAACACGATGCAATTGTGACCAAACATCTATCGCTTTAAAAATGCCTTCATCTACTTATGCACTTACTTTTGTGGTCTTGTCGAACTTATTAAGGGTATTCTAAACCTCCTCTTGAATTCTGTTCGTTATATCATAGGAGCGGAGATTTACACCACTCACTTTCAAAACGCACGTACACACAGGCATATATATATATATATATATATATATATATATATATATATATATATATTATAATTAATTGATTTAAAATATGTTTTTTTTCGCTACGCAGTTCTAAAAAATAGATGATAAAAGCCCCGATTTAATTTTGCAATTAAATTAAAAGCATTGTTCCATTTTCATCCTCAAGCGAATTTAAAAGTTACTCCAAAATTCGCTTGACGATGAAATCGAACTAATGCTTTTAATTTAATTGCAAAATTAAATTCGGGGCTTTTAGCTTTTATTTTTGAAACATGGTTAGAACTGTGTAGCGAAAAAAAAACATATTTTAAATCAATTAATTTATAATATTAATGCTCTGTAAATTTACATTGAGCACTATTTTTTAAAAATAAAAATATCTATAAGAACACCGGATTTTATATCTTACTGTTTTTTTCTTTTTTATATATATACATACATACATATATATATATATATATATATATATATATATATATATATATATATATGTAATACCAAATTGTAATTGGTAGGGATTATTCGAAAGAGGACTTTTAGTTTATATGAGAGCTCAATGTATGATAAGGAGATAATTACAATAATAATTAGAAAAACCTTAAAATTCCAGTCAGTTATAAATTTATTTCGATAAATATAAACACATTCATCTCATCAGGCCGACTACATTTTATAAAAATGTAGTTAATCTGAAAATTTCATAAAATGTAGACGGTCTGATGAGATGAATATGCTTATATTCATCGAAATAAGTTTATTACTGACTATGAATTATATATATATATATATATATATATATATTTCATTACATACGGCAGACAAGGGAGATTTAATTTTTATTTATTTCATTTCCAGAACAAGTAAGGAAGTACAGACATTTTCCTTAATTTTTCCTTAATTTTCTTTATCCCAAGCGCTTTTCGCCACTTCTTCAGTCCTTTTCAAGCGGGTCTTGTTTTTGGTGTTGTTAGTTTTTCCTCATGTTTTTGACTGTTTATGTTGTATTATATTTTTGTACTGTTTTAAATGGGAGCGTTTATTCCGATCATTTGCTTGTTGAGCTCTTGGCTGGAATCCGCGTGAGCATCTTTTTATTTAAAAAAAACAAACAAAAAACAACAAAAAACTTTATTTCCACTGTTAAATAAGGTGAGGTTGATCGTAGGAGAGCGATGTTTAATATAGAGGGTCTCTAATAACGGGATGTTTCTGGTAATATGATTTATATACAATTTTTGTGTTTTCGACCAGAAGTTTTGTTGTTTGTTGTACATTGTGGATTGATAGATTTTTTATAGCACTTTGATCTAACAAATATATATATATATATATATATATATATATATATATATATATATATATTAGATCAAAGTGCTATAAAAAATCTATCAACCCACAATTTACAAAAACTTTTATATATATATATATATATATATATACATATATATATATATATATATATATATATGTGTGTGTGTGTGTGTGTGTGTGTGTGTGTGTGTGTGTGTGTGTAGCCGGCCTCCCGTATTCGAGGATACCCGTCTACTAGAGTGGCTAGCCAATCCCTATTGCAGACACTTGCATTTGGATTTATTCAACACTGACAGAGCCCACCTGAGAATTATACTGCAACTATGCTGAGCAGACATTAGTTACAGTTTCCGGGAAAAGAGCGTGTTACCTAGCGTGAAGACAATTTGAAGGAAAAGCCAATACGCTCAAGCACTCTGGCCACGATGACTTTTGACTTCGTGCTAGCACAGCTATCGACGGCCCCCAAATCTCTGGCTACCTAGTTTCATTCACGTGGTATGGTTTTTCTTTCCAAATACATACATTTACATATATATATATATATATATATATATATATATATATATATATATATATATAGAGAGAGAGAGAGGAGAGAAAGAGAGATAGAGATCAAAGTTCTGTTTATGTGTATATGCATCTGTGAGGTATTTAAAACCGTATAATGTTGCCTCTCGTTTCCGGGCACAAATCCCACCGGATCGTCGATCAGAATGCGAAGTTGGCGATAATGAAATCCTAATACTTGATAGTGTGATCTTTAGGGCTACTTAGTCATTTACTGGCTAATAAAACTTGCTATTCTTATCCCACGGGGAGACGTCATAGACACAAATTAAATCGATAATATCAGACACAATCCGTAACATATTCGGGGCTTGTTACTAGGATCCTATATAATCTATCAAAATGAACGGAGATAAAAAAAAAAATGACTATTTCACAATCGATTCCTGTGTAATTATAATAAAGTAATGCTGCCTTAATATCTTCTAACAACACCTTCTGTGACATTAAGCCCAAATGACACACACATAGATGCCGACATACACAACTGGGGAAGCGCTCACACACACACATATACACACACTGTGTGACATTAAGCCCAATGACAGACACACAAATGCCGACATACACAACTGGGGAAGCGCACACACACTTATACACACACTGTGTGACATTAAGCCCCAATGATACACACACATAGATGCCGACATACACAACTGCGGAAGCGCACACACACATATACACACACTGTGTGACATTAAGACCCAATGACACACACACAAATGCCGGCATACACAACTGGGGAAGCGCACACACACATATATACACACTGTGTGACATTAAGCCCCAATGATGCACACACAAATGCCGGCATACACAACTGCGGAAGCGCTCACACACATATACACACACTGTAATCACCGGTGATGCTCAAAGTGGTGGCCTTTAGCTTCCAGACATTTATTAGTACAGCGGACGGATTCTTGCGCAACGTTAGCCAAAGTCTCCAGTGGGATTGTTCCATATGCATTTTTCATTTCTTGTGTAAGAGCCGCCAGTGGAATGCCATCTGTCGAGAAACTATCGTCCTATCATTGAAAGTGATATCACAGTATGATAAAACTACGTAAGACAAGTTTTTTTTTTTTGTTGCTTTCGTGAAGTGTTTATACATTTTTGCGATGGACTCTGTACATCCTTCCGTGTGTGTGTGTGTGTGTGTGTGTGTGTGTGTGTGTGTGTGTGTGTGTGTGTGTGTGTGTGAATTCGTAGAAATAGCTAAAATTTTGGGACAAATATTGTTGAAATAATTTAAGACACACAAGGCCTATTAACTGCATGAAAACCATGGAGAATCAGTGATTAACTTGCATAATGAATTTGGATGGCAGAACAGGAATAACGATCAGGAGAGGGGTCTGAAAAGTAGCTTACAGCAGTAAAAACAACAACAACAAAAAAAAACTATGTAGCTGTGGAGAGTCACTACTACTTATAAATTGAGCATCCAAACTCTAGAGCCTCGTAAACGGACCCCGTTTACGAAACACTAGAGTGGGGATGCTGCAGGTAACAGCTAAATTACAAATTTTATATTTCTATTAATATATATATATATATATATATATATATATATATATGTGTGTGTGTGTGTGTGTGGATATAAACTAAATAATTAGATATTAGCAACTGTATAGCGTGCATACACAGATAAACGAATAAATATTTACCTAATTTAAGATGTAAACAAAACAATACTCAATGTAGTTAGATAGAGCTAAGATATATATATTAATAAATATACATATACCCACGTTATATATATATATATATATATATATATATATATATATATATATATATATATATATATATATGTTAAACTACGATCGCTACTATGAGGAAAATAACATGCTGGGTTTATCAGACAATCTGCAGAAATTACTACCGTCCCATTCATTAGATGAAAACCTACGAACAAGCTGAACAGAGTTTACAAAACAGGCCAGGCCCTGTACAGAACAGTTTAATATGGCATATCTGCAATAAGCTTTGCAAGTCAATGGCTATTCAAGAATCATTGGCCTTTTCACGAGAACTTAAAACGTTCATTAAACGTTCACCTATGTCGTATTAAAAAGAGTTCATTCAAAAACGTTTCGGCTACGAAAATGAACGTAGCAGATATAGACTTAGATGTGGCACAAGGTCGAAAATATGGAGCCCCCAGCTATTGCGAGCTATAAACTTCGAGAGGTCTTGGTTTGAGATGGGTATTCTTTAAATAGGTAGCTGAGTATCTAGGTTTCCCATGACCAAAATTGATAGGGAACGGTTGAACTGCGGGATAATTATTCTTGATAGAAAAAGGGGATACAGGTTCGATTCCTGTCGCTAGTAATGATTTTTTTTCCTTGCCATTTGACACTCACTTCACTATCTAAAATAGCAGTGATGTCAAGTCAAAAATATATATCCGCTAAAACATTTTATTGGACGAATAATGAAAAAAGAAAGCTACGAAAAACTAACACTCCTAAGACATTGTGAAGGCAAGAGAATCTGGAAGAATAAACGAATATGAGTGAATGGAAGTGAGAATAAGTATGAAATTATTAAGGGAGTAATATTTCCTACGTGCAACAAAATGTAGGAAGTTGTGGAGAGCCATCATCGAAAACGTTTTAAAGGGACACGGTAGATAAAAGAAGATTGATTTACTTGAGAGACTTATACATAAACACTACTGTAGTCCAGTTAGAAAATAACTCTTTTTTTTAATTCAATACCTGTATAAAGCCGCAAAGAAATGATCCTCAAATAAAATTTACTTTTTGTGGAGACCGACGCACAGAAGAAAAACGCAATTTATGTATTCGCTTTTATTTCATAAAGGAAATGTTCTTT